CCGCGGGGCCGCCCGCGCGGGCCTTCTGGCCGCTCCTGAGCCGCGGGATGGGCTTCTTTTCCGAAAGCGTCTTTTTGAGGAACCGCGCCAGGGACGTGGCGGGGCGAGGCGGGGGGCGCCCGAACTCGGGGCCGAGGCCCAGGCCCCGGTGGGCACCGAAGGCCGACAGGGCGCGCTGGAGGTTGCGCTGGCGCGGCGTGAGGAAGCCCCAGAAAGGATGGCCATAGGCCACCGTGGGCACGCGGGGCACCTCCTCGTCCTCCTCCTCCTCGTCTGCATCCCCCAAGGGCAGCGGGATGTCCAGGGAGGGCGGGAGGGGCACCTCCAACTTCTCCTTCCCGAACAGCTTCACCTGGGGCCGCGGGAAGAGGCGGAACTTGCGGATGAGGGACAGCTTGGACCTGGCCGGCTTGTCCATGCCTTGCTGCTCGAAGAAGGCGGCGCTGGGCAGGCGGAACGACGTGCTCTGCCGCTGCGCGCCCGCCTCCTCGGGCTCCTCCAGCTCCGCGATGTCGTCCATGGGGTGCGCGTACGGGTTGTGGGGCGACGATATGGGCGGCGGTACCCAGGGGTACGCGAAGGCCGGCTCCTCGGGGTAAAAGTAGGGCACCTCGGGCGGGTAGACGGCCTGCTCTCCACCATAGAGGCCTTCGGCGTAGGGGGCGCTGTAGGGGACCCCGTAGGGATCGAAGTAGGGCATGTCGTAGGGGGCGCTGTAGGGGGCGCTGTACGGGTCGTGGGGCGGGTACAACGCGTCGTAGGGCGCGTAGGGGTCCAGGTAGTAGCTGTATGGGAACGCCTCGCTCTCGTACCCGTCGGGGTAGCCGTAAGGGGATGAGTACCCCGAGGGCGGCGCATACGGGGGCTCATAGTCGTCTGGAGCGGGAGCGTTCCCCCGGGGAGAGGGGCCTGCCGTAGTAGTCGGGCTGGAAGTAGTCGTAGGGGTCCTCGGGCGGGTACCCGTAGTAGTGGTCGCCGTAGGGCGGCCAGGCCGGGCTGTAGCCGTAGCCCCCCGGGTAGGGCTCCTCCTCGTGCCGGTAGAGCGACTGCTGGTCGTAGTAGTCGTCGCCCTCGCGGTGGTAGTCGTAGTACTCGCCCAGGTCTTGGAAGCCCTCGAGCCCGTACAGCGACCTGCGGGAGCCCGAGTGCCGGAACGGGGCCTCGTCCTCGAAGGGCAGGAAGCCCACCGGCTCGCCCGAGGCGTAGATGCTGCGGCTGCGCGGGAACCTCCGCAGCCGGCCCCCGGGCCGCAGGATCTCGGCGCCCGACGGGAAGGGCAGCTTGCGGGAGCCCACGCGGGAGTCGGAGCGCTGCAGCCAGGCGTCCAGCGTGGCCTGCTCGCTGCCCGACTGCTCGGCCTTCTTGAGCAGGAACTTCTTGGTGAGCCAGTTGATGGCCGTGGACGCCTTGCTGAGCGAGCGCGCACGTCGGCCGGAGCCGGGCCGGCCCGGGAAGCGGATCACCATGAAGGACGGCTTCTTGCCCTTCATCGCGCGCTTCTTCTTGCCCACGCGCATCTGCGTCATGAGCTTCGACGTGGACTTGAGCACCGTGCGGGCCTTCTTCTTGCGCTTGGTCTTCTGGGGGCCGGTGTGGAGGCCCCAGAAGAAGGCCGACGCGCTCCGGAACTGGCCCTTCTTGGAGATCTTGGGCGTGCGGTCGCGGAAGCCCATGAACAGCCGCGACGTCCCCTTCAGGCTCCGTTTGGGCTTCTCCGGCTCCGGGGCCTTCTTCCCTTTCTTGCCTTTCTTGGCTTTCTTCTCCTCATCTTCCTCCTTCGCCATGGTGGCCTCCCGCTCCCCACCGGGCCTGAGGCCGGTGTCGTGGGCTCAGGGACTTGGAGACACAGGGACCTGCTGGGTCTCTTGCCCGCGGCTGGACATGCGGCCTCCTTGGGCTCGCAGCCGGGACTGGCCAGCCCGGGTGGGGAGGGACCGGCCAGGACGCCGGGAGGGCGGATCCATAACTCGTCTGCTGGGGCCGCCTTGGGTTTCACCCCGGGCAGTGGAAAGCCACGGGTGTTGTTTACCGGCTGGGGGAGCCTGGAGGCCTGTGCCGGGAGGCAGCCTGGACTTAGCGTGGCCATGGCGACCAACGCTGACCCTGGCCAGGCCCTCCCTGTGCCTCCGCCTGACCCTCCAAACGGAGTCCTTGTCACCGTGGCTTCTCAGAGAAGACAGCCCAAAGGGGGCACCAGCTGCCCAAACTACCCAGCCTGCCTGCACTGGGCCAGAAGACGAGCTGGCTTTTCTTTTTTCCCCTCCTACTTTATTTTAGAATTCTTTTTAAGGTTTCTGCCACTGGGTCCATGAGCTTGCCAGAGAGGAGCGAGAGAGACAGTGAGAGGGAGAGTCAGAATGTACCGCCTTTGGGTGGAGGGGCGGCCACACCGCACAACAGTCCCTTCTTCGTTTCCCTCCTGGGACTTCGGGTCCCTGTGCACAGGCACCCAGTGTGAGATAAAGCCCCCGGTCTGAGTCACAGCCGAGTCAGCCCTGTGGGCGTCCAGCGCTGTAACCACCATGCCACCTGCTGGCCCCCGTATTCTATGATTTATCTGTATTTAATCGTTGTACATCTTTACGGTGTCCCATAGGTTTTCAAATAGGAGCTGGGTCTCCTGAGCCCGGGGTACAATGGTCAACACCCGCCTGGTCGCCTGAGACAGGAACCTAGGACCCTCCAGGCCCAGCGGCCAGTGCCCAGGGGCCAGTGTAACCGGAGCCGGCTGGCTGTCGGGAACTGAATAATGCATCAGGGCCCAGCTCAGAGGGCATGGCGAGGGGGGCTCAGCGGAACTCCTGGGAACTCCCAGCGGCCCTGTGGGGCCCCGCTCTGGGGAACAGGAGGGAGTGGAGGGGGCTCAGGCCTGGCTCTGATCCCAGCTCTGCCACTGACGCTGTGTGGCCTTGGGAAAGTTCTTTGCCTTCTCTGGGCCTAGTTCCTCAGGTCCCGCCCTGCCCTGTCTTCTCCCATAGCTTCTCTGGGTGGGCCGGCTGTGGCCGGTGGCCCCTGCCCTCACCAGTGTGGGGGCTGTGGTGTCAGGTTGGACAGGTGACCCAAGGCCATGTGCCGCTGTGTGGCTGGGGGCCAGTCTGGCCCACCTGACAAACTGCACTACAGGTGGGACCGAGGGTGGAGAGAAGTGGGAGGCAGGACCTGAGGCCTCATAACTGTCCCTCCCCCTCCTCCCCTCCCTCTCAGCCCCCCTCCTCCCTCCCTCCTCTTCTCCGCTTCCCTCTGCCCGAGGGTCAGGCCATGACGGGTCCGGGTCTGAAGACAGACCTCTAGTTGATGCCAGCCCCCACTCACTGGCCTTCGGCTCAGCCTCTGGACCCTCATATCAGCTCTCTGCGCTTTTGAAGTTCAGCAAAGACAACAAGGGGCCCTGACCCTGGCTCTGCCACTAGGCAACACCGTGCCATCGGGGGGCCTCTCAGCCTCTGCCTGCTCAGCTGTGCCATGGGGACAGCTAGCGGTCTCGGGCGAGCGGCGAGGGTCTGAGAGTGGGCCATGCCAGCCGCCAGCCGCGCGGTCTCGCCTCCTTCTGCCTCTCTGCTCAGGCTCCCTGCACTTCCTCCCTCTGGTCCTTGCTCCTCGTCCCCTTGGACTCCAGCCACCCCCGGGGGCTGGGGGTGTCTGCTGTCGGGGAGGGGAGGGGCAGGGACTCTCAGTGGAGACCTGGAGCTGCTTGGCAAGGGCGTGCAGGAAGTGTCCTCCTGTAATGTGGATTTTGAGGGGACAGCCACCATCCCTATCCCTGTCACCTCCTACCCCCAACTCGTCCTCCTCTTTCTGGACTGCAGCTGCTGCCTGCTTGAGGGGAAATGGGGGGCAGGGGGCTTGTTCTTCCTGAGCCCAGAGATGCCAACTCCCGGCCTCCCCTCCCAGAGTTGGCATCTAGTGAGGCCCCAGCCCGGCGAAGCACCGGTGGTCTCCTGGGGTCTCCCATCTCCAGATGAGGAGACTCAGGTGAAGTGACCTGTTTAGGCCCGCTGGCCTGGGAGGGCAGGACCCAGCCTGGCCAGTCCAGACTGTGGTCCTTGCTAGGCCCTGGGGCCCACTGAGCTCCTGGGCACCCGGGCGGTCCTGAAGGAGAGGTGCACCTTTGGGTGCTGGGTAGAGGCAGGGACTTGGCTGAGCCAACCCCAGTGTCCCTTCTGGACTTCTGGAGGCAGAGGGTCCAGATGAAGCCACTGGACAAGCCAGGGACCCAGCCTGACCGCTAGAGGACCAAGACCCCCATGGCGCTCATCCCCGATGGGACAGTGGACACCCGGGGGTCTCTGGGTGGGGCCTCCTGGGTTCCTCAGTCAGCTGGTCCTGGTCCCTGAGGGTCCTGTAGCCACTCACTCACTCACTCACGTCTCTGCCTTAGCATGGGGCTGCGGCTGAGAATGAAACTGACAAAATCCTGTCCTCGGGACCAGCACTTAGCGTAATGGCTATCGCTGCACTTCCATGTAGTCAACCGCGGTTCTCGTCCCGGACCTGGTGGCTTAAACTCACGCCGGGCGCGTGTGCGCGTGTGCCCAAGATCCCGAGAGGAGAATGGAGAAGGGATTGCGGCATGGCCCTCCCCCGGGGGGGTGATTTCTCACTTTCTGTCTCTCTGTCTCTCTCTCTCTCTGGCAAGCGCACACACCCTATAGCAAAAACCTCTTCAAAAATAAATCCTGTCCTCGTGGGGTCTACATGTTGTGGGGGGTCAGTAAACGGGGAAAATTCGTAATGGGTCGGATGGTGGTCAGTGCTGTGGACCAGGATAAGGTAGAGAAGGGACGTGGAGAAGAAGGTATGTGGTCCAGCGGGTGCTGTGGAGGATAAGGCCGTGTGGATCCCACGTGGCCAACTGTGCAGTTCGAGTCCTGCACCCGCTGCTTGAAGATCACACTAGGAGGCTAGCAGATGGCGTAACAGCTCTGTCACTGGACTCCCACGAGTCGACTGCAGTTTGAGTCCAAGAACTGGCGGCTTAAAATTCACACTGGGCGCGTGTGTGTGCGTGCCCAGGATCCCAGGAGGAGAATGGAGGAGAAAGGATTGCAGTGTGGCCATCCCCAGGGGGGTGATTTCTTACTTGTCTCTCCAGCAAGCTCATGTGCCCTGTAGCAAAAATTCCTCTTAAAATTTTTTTTAGGGACTGGCAGGTGGCATGTTGGTTAGGGGCACTGGATTCCCACATGGGTGACTGTGGTTTGAGTCCTGGACCTGGTGGCTTGGTTTCTCACTTTTTCTCTCTCATGCTGTCCCTTTTTGCTCAAATTAAACTAAATAAATAACTAAACAAATAAAGTAAAAAAAAAATTTTCTTAAAGAAAAACATCACACCGGGCATGTGTGTGTTCATGCCCAAGGTTGTGAGAGGAGAATGGAGGAGAGGGGATTGTGGCATGGCCATCCCCCCTGAGAGATGCTTTGTCACTTTATCACTCTCTCTCTGTGCCTAACTCCAGAGAGCTCATGCACCCTATAGCAAAAAAAAAAAAAAAAAGTGTGTGTGTGTGTGACACTAAGTGGGAGTCAGGGAGGCCTTGTGGGGTGGTGGTGAGGTGACCAAGATTTGTGGGAGGTGAGGGACAGAACCCTGTGGGTGGCACACGGTCCCGAGGGGTGTAGGAGCTGCGAGGCTGGAGTGCAGAGCAGGGCACAGGTGGGAGGTGGGACAGAGGTTGGGGCAGAGCGTCTACCCTACCCGGGGCAGGGCCATGTGGGCCACAGGGGCACCTGGCCTGACAGCAGCAAGACGGGGGGAGGGCTCTGGCAGAGAAGGGGTGGGACGTGACCTGACCTCAGTGCTCATGGGATCTTTCTGGCTTCCCGGAGGAGGAGACTGTGGGGGTGAGGACAGCAGCAGGGAGGCCAAGGCAGCAGGCACTGGGCGTGCAGACAAGTGCTAGGGTCCTGGGCATGTGTGGCAGGGCGAGTGGAGGCTTCGCTGGTGGGGGAGGAGGGCGTCAGAAATGGCTCCGAGGTGGGGCCAGCAGGAGGCATGGTGGTTAAGGTGCTGGACTCCTACATGGCTGACTGCAGTTCAAGTCCCAGATCTGATAACTTGAAAATCACGCCGGGTGCATGCGTGCCCCAGAACTCTAACCCTAACCTAGGAGAAGGGTGGGAGAGACGGTGTGGCCATCCCTCCTAAGGGGTCATTTCTCCCTCTTCCTCTGTCTGCCTCTCTGGCAAGCACAAGTGCCCTATAACCAAAAACCTTTAAAAGTTTTTTTCAAAAGATGGCTCTGAGGATTCCTAACTGAACAGTGGGAAGGACAGAGGGGCTGGCAGAGGTGCGGAAGGCTGTGGGCAGTGCGGGTCGAGGCGGCGAGGCCCGGAAGCCAGCTCTGGACGTGTTAGTGTCAGGTATTGGTCGGGCCCTGCCAGGACCATACTGGGGCCATTGCAGAGACTGGTGACGCCAGTCCGGGAGTCATCGGCATCTAGGTGGTGTTGAAGCCACAGTTTTGGAGGATGGCACCGGGGCATGAGTGCTGGTGGCGGAGGGACCCAAGGAGTGAGCCCCAGCACTGCCCTGTCTGGCGCCACGATCCTTTCTCCCCCGGGCCGCTGTTCCCTCGGGACCTGGGCACACACACAAGCACCAGTAGGCCTTCCAAGCCGCCAGCAGAGCGCTGCGCCAGGCAGCCACGCGAGACTCCGCTCATCCGCTGCGCTATGCAGCCTCATCGGTTTGATTTCGAACCACATGGATACATTCTTTATTTTAAAAATCAAGTGACATTTTGAAAGAGGAAAGGGGCTGGACGGTGGCACAGCAGTAAATGCAAAGCTCTGTAAGTGGGACCCACATGGGAAGGTTGTCGGTTCCAGTCTGGGGACCTCCCTAAGTACACAGGGTGGACACCTGCCTGTGACCCAGGGTTGGGGCGGGTGGTAGTGCGGACCCTGTAAGGAGAGCTGTGTATAAGGGAATAAAATTAGGGAAAAAAGGAATGAATAGAGAAAAACTGAAAATGGGAAAAGAGGGGACAGTGGCACTTCCTCAGTGGCACTCGCGGGAAGAATGTCAGGGCCTGGCCCTTCAGGCTCAAGGTCACCTCCCAGAGCCGCACTCCCTGCCTGCCCCAGGTCGGGGAGGGAGGCTGGAAGACCGCCATGGCCCAGTGGGCTCGCTCAGGCCCTGCCGAGCCAGCGGGCAGGCATCTCTGCTCCCAAGCCCTGTCGTTAGGTGGAGACTGACGAGGCGAGCCCAGCTCCGGCACAGCCAGCTCCTGGCAGCCAGCAGCTCAGAGCTTGGGCCAGGTCTCGTCTGCCTCCTGGCTGACCACAGTGGGTCACGCAGCCTCTTCACTGTAGCTGCTTATCGGTGAGAGCAGCACTGCTGGCGCCACCTCCTCCTGGGCTCCCACGGGCATCGGCTGGGATTGGCAGGGCTGGGCACAGTGCCTGGCCTGCGCACGCTGCAGGCATTGAGATGGCTGACCTCATTAGCACAGGTTGCTGCCCCCTCTGCTCTGGGGACGGGGTGTCTAGGGGGCTGCTGGCAGCAGGGCCTGCCCACCTGACCCTTCCCGGTTACTGGGGCCGGCTCAGCCCAGAAGGTGGCTGTGGGCACCCTTTCTCTGGTGGGTTCTGGTGTTTCCTCTCAGGGTCCCCAGATTGCAGCAGACATGGAGCAGACGTCAGGGAGCAAGTCTCACTCAGTCCTCAGATGTCAGCTGTGCACCTACTATGTGCCAATGCTGTACTGGGCCCTAGACAGTCAGAGCTGAGCACAGCTCCTGATGTCACAGGGGACACAGATTGGTGAGCATGAACTGCACCAGCAGGAGAGCCGTGAGGGTCAGGGCATGGCCCGGTGGGTGCACCCACACCAAGGTCCGGAAAGGCTCCCTTGGGATGGCGACCCTGAGCTGAGATCGGAAAGATGAGTGGAGAGCCACTTCCATGGAAGAGGGGACTGTGTTCCAGGCAGGTGGGACAGGTGCAAGGGCCGGGTGGTGAGAGAAGCTTGAATGGAGTCCTACAGCTCAGTGGAGTGGTGAAGGCGCACAGATTAGAAAGTGGCTAGGCGGACAGGCATGGCCGTGTGAGGCCGAGGAGGCCGAGACGAGACTTTGGTCTCCACCCCTCAAGCAGCGGGGAGCCACAGCAGGGCTGCAGGGACCCAACGTGAGAGTACCAATAACATCTCCAGCACGGCCTAGTTTACCGTAGCCAGGCTCAGGGCTGAGCGCCCGGCTGAGCTCACTAGACCCTCACCAATGTCAAGACAGGGGCTTCTCCCCACTTCGTTTTACTCATTCATCATGAAAGAGAGACAGAGACGGTGCCCCGGGGAGCCCTCGTGTGGAGATCTGCCTGGTCTCAGCCGGCCCAGGTCGCAGGCCCACACAGGCCCAGCATGCGCGGGAGGTCCTGGGTGCAAATCCGACACCCACCGGGAGCAGCCGGGCTAGCGCTGCCCCACGGCGGCCCGTCCCCACCTTATAGCTGAAGGGCCTGGTCTGAACCCAGGTCTGGAGAGCAAGGGGGCCCGTGTCACTACCGGGCCTGGGAACAGACCTGCTCGGTCCCTAAAACTCAGTCAACCCTCACTACGGCCTCCTGAAGTGGGTTTTTGTTTGTTTGTTTGTTTTGGAGAGGTTTTCGCTATAGGGCGCGTGCACTTGCCAGAAAGAGAGAGACAGAGAGACAGAAAGCGAGAAATCACCCCCAGGGGGATGGCCACGCCGCAATCCCTTCTCCTCCATTCTCCTCTCGGGATCTTGGGCACGCACGCACACGCGCCCGGCGTGAGTTTAAGCCACCAGGTCTGGGACCCGAACCGTGGTTGACTACATGGGAGTCCAGCGACATAGCCATTACGCTAACTGCAGGTCCTGATTATTCTTCCTAACTTACAGATGATGAAACGGGCACAGAGAGGTTAAGCAAATTGCCTGAAGCCACCAGCTTAAAACAGCTACTGCCTCACATTGCTTCTTGGAAAGTGGTCAGGAAGAAAGCTCTCGGCCTCCGTGTGGAGGGTGGGGAGGGAGGCAGGGGGGCAGTGGCTGGGTGGGGGCCATGCTGTGAGGGGTGCAGTGGACACATTCTGAGATGTGTCTGAGGCACAGTGGGACAGTGGGTTTGGGGCGACTGTGGGAAAGTGCGGCAAAGAGGTGGTTTGGACCCAGGTCTGGAACTCGGAGGGACAGAGGTTCGGTCCGGGATTGCAGCCGGAGGGGGCTTCCGAGGAGGGACAGGAGGGACAGGAGAAACAGAGACAGGTGCCCCGGGGAGCTCTTGCGTGGAGACCCACCTGGTCTCAGCCGGCCCAGGTTGCAGGCCCACACAGGCCCAGCCTTGACCCTGGCTCCTAATGCCTGTGTGGGAAGGAGGCTGGGAGAAGGACGTGGGAGGGGGCTCGGCCAGTGGTGTGAACTCGCCAAGGCCACGCAGCAAGTGCCAGCCTGGGCAGGCACCGTCCTGGCAGGTGGTGGAGAGGGCAGAGGGGAAGGGACAGAGACTGCGGTGGGCTCGGGTAGGCGACCAGGGCAGGGGCAGGGAGGTGGTGTGTCCGGGGGCTCTGCACACAGGAGAGGCCGCGTGAGGACAGCCGGAAGGGGCCACTGACGCCAGGGAGAGGCCTCAAGACCAACCTGCCCGACCTTGACCTCAGCTCCCGGCTGGAGAGAGCCGATGGCGGCTGCTGGTGCCCCAGGCATGGTGCTATCGGAAGCCCGAGCAAACAAGGACAGATCCAGGAGAGAGACAGCGTGAGACAGAGACAGAGGGAAGGAGACGGTGACTTGTCTGTGGGTGCGAGGGCTCCCCCATCGTGAAGGCGGGTGCGGTGAGTGTGAGTGTCTGGGCCGCTGAGGCGTGTTCTGGCTGGGACACCACGGGTGAGGGAGGAGTGGGGAGTGTGGGCCCAGGGCAGCAGGGCGGGTTGAAGAGCTGCCCAGCAGCTGGGCCAGTCAGCCCTTCCAGGGCTGGAAGAAGCCTAGCTCGGAGGAGGACAGATGAACTTGGGGCTTCTTGCCAAAAAAAAGGCTCTGAAAAAATGAGGAAGCCAGGAAGCTGAGCTGGAGAGGAAGGAGTGTGAATGGGTGAATGCACACGTGGACAGATAGGTGGACAGATGGGCCTATCATGACCATCCCTCGGCTTCTGTGTGCCTAAGCTTGTGAGAGCTGGCCTGCCTGCCGCCCCACTCCTGAAGGCCCCAGCCTGGGGCTGACGCCCTCCAACCCCCATGAAGGATCAGAGTAAGTGATGGGGACAGGGTGGCCGACAGGGCTGGACCTAGCCTGGAGCACCCCTGGAGAGGTGGATCAGGGGCGCTCAGCCCCGAGAGTCCTGTGAGCCGCCACTTCACAAGGACTTGGGTGTGCACAGGCTCTCACACGCGGGCTTAGCGCGGCCATGCTGCCCATGGAGCCAGAAAGACCAGGACACAACACAGACACAGACCGCCCTGATCCTCACACAACCCCAGCCCAGGACGCAAGCCCACCATGCAAGGGGCAGGGCACTGTCCTGATCCCTCACTGCCTGAGGACCCCAGACCTCTGACCCACCTCCTGCTTCCTCCCCAGCTAGCCTGGAATCAGAAGGCCTGGATCCAACCCGAGGCTTGGACTTGGCTGAGGCCCCAGGAACTCAGAACCTTCAGGGGTTCTCCTGGGCCCAGAGGCCCTACCTGGAAGGTGAGGAGTGGGAATGACTGTCCCCTGAGGACCTTGCAGGCCAGGCCTTGGGCAGCTGGAGGGGCCCAGGTGGGCTGAGTGCTTGCCCATCTTGGTGTCCCGCCCCCCAGGGGCATCGGTTGCCCACTGGAGATGGGGAGTGAGGCCGAGAAGGCCTGAGAAGCGGCAGAGCCCCACTGCTGCCCCGTCCAGCTTCTCCCCTGCAACCTGGGAGACCCAGCAGTGGCGGCTCTAAGGACCCAGGGCCAGGGTTCCCTTACCTGGGTCCCGTGGCCTGCTCCCCGTCTGCATGCCGCCTGATGGGGGTCCCGTGGCTGGCCCCAGCGGCCCGGCCGGCCCACAGAGCAGCTCAGCGTCGCAGGGAACGGAGGCCCAGCCCACCACGCCGACCGCCGGGGGCCCATGCATATTTCATGATGTCTATTATTCCTGTTTTGACTCTGGAACGGAGCGAGCAGCTGGCGGAGAGCTGGGCAGTGGGCCACTCCACACTCCAGCCTGGCCCCAGGGGAGGTCGCCCACCTGGTAGCCGCACAGAGCCTGTCCAGTCCAGCCCCAAAGGCACACCCCCCGGAGTCCTCCTTGCTGCCCACAGGCCTCATGCTCTGGTGTTGCACTCGGGAGCTATGGACTCAGTGGCCATGGTGGGGCCCAGCCCAGGCCCTGGCGTGCAGAGGTGTTCAGCAAGGATCTCCCGCCCTGGTTCTGAGGTGATCAGAAATGCACCCAGCTCCCTCCCTCACAGGGGAGTCCCCCTCACTCCTGAATGGGCTTCCAGGGACGCTGCCCACTTGGTAGCCAGGTCTAGTCTCTGAAGGGGCCGCATCTGGTGCTGGTTGCCCCTGGCCAGCTCTCCTGGCAGCGCCCGCCCTGGGGAAGACCCCATGCTCCTTGCCTCCCAGGCTGGGCCCTGCCCCCAGGGGGCCAAGTTCACCCCTGTCCCCACTCATGCCCTGCGGCCACCCAACACAACCCGACTACTGAGTTCAAACTGTCGTCCGTCTGAGCAGGAGTCACTTTCAATCCTTTATTTCAGAAA